GTTACAGTAGCGACTATTATGGTGTGAACATCTTTTGGCAATGAAATATTAACTTATAATCAATTATACTTGTCATGACATGGTGGTATTAGGCATATTGTATGTATATTCAGTCTTACAAAGTTTTACTGAGAATAGTGTAAAATCCAATGCCGACGACGCGTTTCATTCAATACCAGAACTCATCAGATTGGCTTAGACACAACAAACTCAGTAATATTCAGAACACTATATGTGTAAATCATTTGTTAGAATAACAATTGTTATGGTGTGAGCATCTTTTGCTAACGAAACATAATTATAATTAATACAGATATAGATATGGTTAAGTTTAGTTGGGTACTACGTGAAAATCCCAGGTGTTAGACACCAAGTGCTGTTCTCTCATGTGAAAAATATCTGCCCTGCATGAGGTAGAAGAGAGTTCCTTTACTTATGTTACCAGGAGCATTCTAGCTGCTTATTATCTTATTGACCCTCACCTTTTAGTTAAACCGTATAGTACTTTATTTTCCAGCAGTCTCAGTCCCTTTGAATGTCGATGAAAATCTTCTATGGTTGCTGCTTTACCTTAATAGTGCAAAGGAAACTGATATCTTGCTAATATAGTCGTGCTAGTCTCTCGAACGAGCTCATCGGCTTCTTTATTTAATTTACCCCTGCATTGCTTGGCACATAAATCCAGGTGATGGTCTTACCATGCAGTCATTTTGTTGCCCTCTGTCATCTATCATGGAACAAACCACTCTGAATTTAATGCTGTACTACCTGTAAATTAAAATATTGTGTTGGTGACGCTGTTCGTATTTTGATGGTTTCAGAAATTCATAGGAACTTAATTTATAGCTTCCAGCTCTATCCTTGTGCTATTTGTGGAAAGCTTGAGTGCCCCACCAGATTTGTCCAAAATGTGCTGTGTAGGAATCATCTGTGACTATGATGACAGGTGATTGCCTATCATGGTCTTTAAATTGATGTTGACCAGCTTTTTCTGCTTCATTCTATTCTCATTCCTTACACTTCCTGTCTATACTCTTTTTCCACAGATCCCAGTGGCAACAGATGTTTATTCCACATGCGAAAATCTGAGATATAGTGGTGATAAACTCTCTTGGTGGAGACTGTATAGCACCTTTCCACCCATAATTGTATCTTGAATCTCCTTTAAGGCAATCCTCTGGCTGACTGATGTCTCAAGGTTATTGTGTCACTAGAATATCCCAACTGAAAGGAGCAGTGGTTCAAAGATGAAATGCATGGTCTTTACGCTGGGAGATCCTAGTGAAGAATTTTGACTGTATGTGCTGTTGATGTTCTGCTATGTTACTGAGGCTTGTGAGGTATATTAGAGCTTTGATGGCGGTGGATGAATTACATTTTATGACCAGTCTAAAATACGGGTTTATGTCGTTTCAAATTTACTTGCTGTATATCATTCATACTAATCCTTGGCAAAGCATAATCCAGATTGTAGTGGATAAGGCTAAGGCAGAGGTTAGCACACAACATCTGGATGGACTGTCAAAGTGAGCTAAACCCATGATATAGATGTCGAAAAGGAATGGCGAGATGTTGATCCTTAAGGCAGACCAGTGGATGTATTTGTGATATTAATCTTGCTGCATAATTCACTCCATTTCATATAACGTGCTTTGGACACCGATTGCCTGTAGAGAGCACCTGGCCATGCCGGGCCTACTTAATAATAGGGATCGACAATGATTCCGAATAATTTACGCACCGAAAAACCACCTCAACGAATTCCTGAGCAAAAACCGACCATTCAAAGTACTGGTTACGATATATTATGCATATATATATATACATATATATATACTAATGATACGCTAAAATGGCCGCTAACACTTCCTGTATACAAATTCAAATATTTCTAAAATAGTAACTTTTTCGTCTACTACCTACTTACCTGATCACGCTACAAGAT